CAGGGGATCTCGTAGTCGAGCAGTCTCGACTAGAGCTTTCTTACTTGTTCATAATTGATTTGGAATCCCAAATCAGTCAATATTTATTCTATATAATTTTGTTACCAGTTTTGACAATCGTTTTGATTAGACCTGTTCCCCCTCTCTTACTGAGTATTTCAACACAAATTCTGATTGATTTAAGAAAATAAATTCTTTTTTCGTTTGTTATTATTGTTTGTTGTTGTCGTCAAATACTAGTTTTTATTATTAGATAATTATTCGACATAGCTACAAATTATAATTCGTATTGAACTAGCGCTAATCCAGTCTAAGAAAGCAAGCAGATATGTGATTCTCAGTAGAATAGTCTATACGTATGTAAATAGTATATGTACTTTACGGTACGGTACGGTTCGACATGATACGATATGATATATATTAGTCATTAGATCACAGATGTATTATTATTATGTTGTTCCGCATGGCCCACGCCAACGTCAACCCCGGGCGTTTGGTCCGGCGGCTCTGCATTGAGAACCAGATTTTCAATCGAACGAAACGATGCATCCTCCAGGTGCGTGGACATAGCAGGTGGACGAGGCAGCGTTGTGGCCGACGCGCCAGTAATTTGCCGGGACTGCGGTCGATGCCGCACCGAGGAACGCAATATGGTAACCACATCCTCGGCTGTATAGGGGCGTTGAAGAGAATGACTGCTGTTACCACGCTCCAGTGTGGCCGCCGACGAAGCCGAAGCAGACACGGAAGCCCTGTGGATTTTACGACCCAGCGACTGTGATCGCTGAGCATAGCCACTTGGACGCTGGCCTATCTCAATAAACTCCGGACTGCTGTTGCCATCGGCGGGAGCAGCAACGGTAACCCCGGAGCCAGAAGGATTCGTTAATATTGTCAAATAATCTGGCGGTGCGACGGGCGAGGGTGTCTCGGTATCCAAGGAAAGTATTGGACGTGTGCGACTAGATGAATCGCCGAGGACTCTGAAAAGGATAAGAGAACAAAAGATGATTTTATAATTTTCAAGAAATGTATAAATATAAATACAAATCTTGGTTCTGAGATTAAGTTAATATATTGAACTAAGTCAAAACTTCATAAACTTAATATTGTATATTTATATATGCAGATTATGAAAGTAGTAGTACTGAGTAAACCTATCGAGCTCATGCTTATCGTGGATATGCCGACAACTTTGCATCATTATTAAAATACGTTTCTAAATCCTTACCTTCGCACACTGCGTCTGATGCTCTGACGCAACATTTTGGCCAACCGAGCTCCCGTGGCTGTAGTGTAGGATGGCGGTGGCGTGTACTTGGGTGGCGCATCATTTTGTGCATCATGTTGAGCACTATCCTGCTGCTGGGTGGAGGCATTTTGCCGCTCCAAGGCTGACCGCTGGCGAGCGGAGGGGCGGCGCAACGTATCACCCTCCGCGGGCGGACGATATAGGTGTTGAATGCGCTAAGGACGAGGGAGTGCAAGAGTTAAAAGAGACATGACATTGAGCTGAAACCAAATTGACCCACCTCGAGTATATCTGGAGGACCGTTGGTCAAGTAGCGGTAGATCTGCACAATGGCTGTGACGGGAATAATGAGCACAATGCCAATTTGTATGAGGCTACCCATTTTCCGGCTCCAGTAGCTGAAGTAGGACTTGCCGCGCCAGTAATAGAACTGGTTGGACAACGAGGCTTTGTAGTCAATCACCGAGAGAGTGATTAGGCCAATCGGCAGCAGCACATTCCAGGAGAGCGCCAGGAATGCCGACATGGAGCCGCACATGCGCAAGTCGTTGACCAGATCGTCGCCATTGTAGGGGCGGCCGCGTATGAGGAACACGCCAAATATTTGCGCTGCCCAAATGATGGGTATGAACCAAGACCCGCCAAGCAGGAAGTCCACATAATACAATATGGAGATTCCCATTTCTGTGGCAAACGGTATGCTCAGCAGCATCCCAGTCACGCAACTAAGCAGCACGGAGCTCGTCGAGTTGCCCAGTGCACTCGAAATGGGCTTCCACATGACGCACAGCTGCGCCAGACCAAAGCCCGCGAACAAGCCAAAGGCAACCGCGGCCCAGACCCAGGAGACAGCATCGCTAGCCAGCGATAGAACGGCAGGCAACAGCTCCGTAATGAAGCGCAGTGCCTGAAAGCCACTCTCTATGTGCAATATGGTCTTGTTCCTTCGATAGGTCTCGCCCAAAAACGAGGAGTAGTGCGGCACCAACGAACGCGGATAGGACAGTAACTGCGGATTTGGGTGCGCCTGCAGCGAATACACGGAAGTATACGAATCCGGAGTCTCTGCGAACGGAACGAAACGATTAGCCAACACTTTTTATTTTCAATAGATGCATCTTTCAACATACCAAACGAGCCAGGCACATAAATGTAGCCGTGTTGCCGCAGAATCTGCTCACAACACATCGCCAGAAGCGCCACGAGACTCAAACCGAGCAGCGTGAGCAGCACGAGGAGTATTGCATCGCGTCGCAGTGTCGCCTTGCTGGCATTCGCGTGGGTGCGACTTGTGATGGCTATCACCGAGGCGCCCAGCAGACCCCACGTCAGAAACGTCTCCTGCGTGGCCGCTGTCCATGTATTTGAATTTACCAGAAAGTCATCAAAATCACTTGCTGCAAAAACGTTCTAAAACCGGAAAATATGTATATATGAAAATATGTATATGTACAGCTATATTTGTAAGTCTATATTAGCCGCTTTAGTTCATTGCATGTTGCTCCCAAAATATAATATGACCTTACGCAAATGAAATGTCTCGGCCATGTTATCTATACTCACATTAACTTTTCCGCCGTTATTGAAATTTTAAATATATATCGTCTGATAATGTGTCGAAAAACCACTGTTATTTCAAGTGCTATACAATATATAGTTGAAAGCTCAAGATTAAGAAAATATTAACGAGACTGCTCGACTAGAAGATACCCTAAACCCTCAAATCTGATATTCTAATCATTCTCTTTTTCCCTTATGCACACATACATGCACATGCATCTACACGCACGGATCAGCACACGCTTTACTAACTGCGCAGTAAGCAGCGACTGCGCTGCAGTGTGGGCCACATTATGAGAATTTACTTGTTGAATAATTTCCCTTGTAGATGGACAATCCTAATGAAACTTTCAGAACGTAATCATAAGGTTCAAATGTATGTACATTCCGAAGCTCAAGTCTCTGGTAAGTCTCTTAAATACGTTTTTTTTACAAATTGAGGGCGAGGGAATCTGTAAATTACAACATTTTCGTATTCATATATTTTTATATATACATATCTATCTGATATCTCTATATATGTATACACGAGTACGCATGCAAAATTTCAGCTCTCTAGCTCTTATATATTCTGATATTTCGACGTTCATACGGACAGACGGAAAGGGCTATATCGACTCAGCTGGTCGTGCTGATCTGCGATGCTTCCTTTTGCCTGGTACACACTTTTTCACAAAAACATTTTACCCTGATGTCCGATTTTCAATGGGTTCATGGTATAAAAGTAGCAAATTTATAGATCACACTCGGGCAAAGATGAATTCTAAAATTTCAAAGCAAAATTTGGCATTTAAGTTACTACTAAAATCGTGGCAAATCGGAACTCGAATAGTAACAAGTAAGAACGTTACAGTCGGGCGTTACCGACTTCGGAATACTCATTCGCCTCATCAGCAATTTAGTGGCTAAGTTTTGCTCTAATGTTGTAGAAAATTCAGTTTTTCTCGATTTGTCACCCCTACTGTTTCATTTCAGTTAATAGAACAAGGTAACGGTAACCTGTCTGCAAAATTCGGATTGAATGAGTATTCTGCAGCCGAAAACGCCCGGCTGTTATGTTAGTTCTTGTTTTTGTTTTGGAATCGATATCCAAATTTGAAACTTCTAGTTATTATATGTTAGGAGAGGTCGGTTTGCCACGCCCGCTATGGGCGGGTATATATCCGCCAAAGTTTTTTCGTGTTGGGAGGTCAGCCCGATTATATATACCAAATTTGAGGAGTCTAGCATCAATAGTGTCCAATATAAAGCTCAATTTGAAAAATCAGCTGTCTAATATTTCTCTTCAACTAATATTTCTGGCATATCAGAAAAAGCATTTTCTGATTTGCCACGCCCCTAATGGGCGAATCGGGAATTTTAATACTTTATAAATCGGAGTATGCGTTCAGACTTTCAAGTCTCTACAGATACAGCTGCCTTCTATTGATTTGTCGAAACCCAAAACATACAAATAAATAAATAAATAAATAAACGTGGCAAATTGAACGATGAAGATGGTATTCTACCACAAAGATCTTATAGATCTATTCCTTGTCTCAGCACAAATTTTCCCGTCAGTTAATCGGCTGTTGGCTCACATTTTGCTTTACATTGTCTGCCTTCTCACATGGAAGAACAGTGGACACACCTGTAGGCTTGCTGGATCCACAATGCTGAAAAATTTGCCAGTAACAGCGATCAGAGCCAGGAACGGTATTGTGTTGATTAGGTAGGTCAGCTTGCCCAAGGACTTGAGGCCCTTGCAGAGTATTAGAAAGACGGCTGCCCAGATGAGGACCAAGCAGGCCGCCAGCTGCTGAAGGAAAGAGATCGGTAGTCGATTACGATTGGGACTGGATACAAAAAGTGCTTCACAAACGTGCACCTACCCGATCATTAACATGGAATCGCATGCCGCCCACATCCGGATGCTTAGCCAAGTGCAGGCGCTGAAGCACCACGATATTGAAGTACTCAGCCACCGTATTGGTCAGATTGCCCGTATCGTTGAGGGCGTCGTAGTGGTAGGGAAACGGCTGCTTTTGCCACCGATATACGTTGTGCGCGTACATGGGCGAGGGAAAAACGTCGCGCAGGTAGACGAGGATCCAGGCAACCGCGACAGTGGAGTAGATGGCCAGGAAGCACTGGACCATGGTCAAAGCAATGCCTACGCCAGAGCAGATGGGACTTATCCTCCACATGGAAACGGGACCCGCTTTGATCTTGGCACCCAAGCACATCTGCAACCAGAACAAAGGTATGCCAAATATGATGGACAGCATCAGAAACTGCAGGAGAAAGTTCCCGCCGTAGTTAATGGTGAGCACTGCAAAGCGGCAGAGATTAAACACGCCCAGGGTACAGCCAATCAGGGCGAGCGTGCGACTCGCTGCGTGCGGCCATTGGCTATTGAAGCCACATTTCTCGTGCAGCTGCTGCGGCTCCAGTGGGGTTGTGCTGCCGGCTCCACTGCTGCCGCTGCACATCGTTCTCTGCGTCTGCGCCAGCTCCAGTTGATCCTGGTCGGCCGCCGTACTGACCGTGGAGCTATCGCTGCTGCCGCTACTGCTGCTGCTCACTAGCGAGACGGGGCTGGGTATGCGCGAGGAGCGCGCTGAGCTTAGGTCTGAGCAGAGAGTCGACATCATGGCATGGGTGGGCCTCTCCAGCGTCTCGGTTGCTTGCTGCGTTTGCGCGGGCGCACTTTGCGGACGACTGAGTGGCGAGGCGACAAGTCCAACTCCAATGCCAATGCCACGTGCCGGACTCATGGACGGATGCCCTTCGAACCGTCGTCCGTATTGCCGCGGTCGCTGGTCTAGCTGTTCGCTGACAGCGCGCGCCGTGCGCTGCTCGTTCTGCAGCAGATTGTTAAAGATCTGCGTCTCGGTTAGCATTTCCTGTCCCTGCTGGCAGTTGCCATGTGAGAAGCTGCGTCGCATCTCGTTGGCGGTACTTGGCTCGCAGTCGGGGAGCTGCACAAGCAACGCCCTCGAATACGTCTCCTGCTCGATTTGCTCCTCCTCCTGCTCCTTCTCGACCAATCCTTCAGATTTGGATTCCTCAGCACTGCCCATGGCGCGGCGCATCGATTGCCTTCTCCACACGTCCACCTGCCCAACACCAATGGCACCCGCTTCAAGGGATGCATTCGCGCCACCTGCAAAACCAGAAAATGAGGTTTTTTCGTCAGCATCGTCACGTTCAGGAATATGAGGTAATTCTAAGGGTTAACTTAGACGTTCGCAACCAACTGCCAACTGCTCGAATTCTCGACTTATTCTGATAATTACATGGAAAAATAGCTCACTTCTAACTGGTGTAACCACATTTAATTACTTAAATTACAACAAAAACCGAAATTATATAAAATAGACATAAGTATACATTTAAAATTTGGAAGAATTAAAGGTGTAGGAGGTATAATTAAATAACTAGCTTTCGATAACGATTTTAATCGATAATTAAATATCAAGAGCAGTTATTTTTAGTGATAAGCTCGATATGCGCGTGATATACACGGACCTAGTCAAAAAATTTGAGTCTCTAGCTCTTATATCTTCTGAGATCGAAGCGTACCTACATAAGGACGGACGGACGGACAGACAGACGGACAGGGCTAAATCAACTCAGCTCGTCGCCCTGATCAAGAATATATATACTTTATGGGGTCTGCGACGATTCCTTCTGCCTGTTAATTACCATTTCACAAAACCATTATACCCTGATTTCCCATTTTCAATGGGAATAGCTGAGTTAGTAGCTGAGTTAGTACGCGGTCTTTGATATTTACCTTTTGGGCTTGTGGGCGTTAGGCCACAGCTGAAGGTTTTCCTCATTTGGTGCCCACGCTGAAATTCTGCATCCACGACTGGATACGCATCCCCTGACGAAGGCTTCTGCTGTTTGCGTTTACGACTCAGGGACAGAGTACGTGTGCGTGCGGGTTCGTAGGGCAAGCTTGGCTGGCCAGTAGCAATGGCTAGCGGATCTTCTTTGTCCAGCTCCTCCAGGTAGTTGTCCAGATCCATGAGGTAGTCCTCGACCTTGTCGTCATCGGAGGATGGTGTATCGCAGGTGGACTTACAGCTGTCATTGAGCTGAGATGCGCCGTGCACATCGAGTATGGCATCCAGCTCATTAAGCACACTTAGCGCCTCATCCGGCACAACGGTTGACTGTTTGATGGGCGTGCTCAAGGGTGGTTCCTGGTTTACGTCACAGAATGCATCTCGTTCGTTGTCTACAGACAGCGGCATATTAAAGCTAATTGGATGCGGATGCTGCTGCTGTTGTTGATGGAAGCTCTGGGGCGTTTGCTGTACCTCAATTAGATCCTCATCGCTTGGCTCATCATCGTAATAGTCGCACGCCTGTTTTATCGATTCGCTGGATAAACTGTGCGATAATCCATATCTTTCTGGCTCTTGAAGCGGCTTTTGTCGTTGTTGTTGCTGCTGTTTACGTTTCACTTTAGTTGTTGTTGCGGGCAGGCTTGCGTAGGCGTTTGAATTGCGCTTGAATTCCCGGCCTGCTGCTTCTTTGCCGTTCATATTGTTCGCATTGCCGTTCAGCTGTTCTTTGGGTCAGTGCTGCAATGCGATTGCTAAAGTTCTGTAAATAAACCAAGCAGATGCAGTGTTGTTCAGTGCCAAATTGCTGCAACTAGGCTTAGATAAGTTCTAGCGATGAGAGTGAGTGGAATAACAGTGAAATATTATAACTCTAAAGTTAATAACAGCAGTGATCGCATAGCAGTACAGGACAACATTGAATGCTTTACAAATATTCAATTCTTTTATAAAAGTCTTCGAAATGTCGGTTGTGAGCCGTAGCGCTGCTTAATAATCAATTGTGGCAGGTCAGGTTTTGCAAGTTCTATTAGAGATGAGCAGCAATGGAATAACAGTCACGATTAACGCTGAAATAGCGGCTCACTCGAAAAATACCAAAACCTATTAACACAGGTCAGGATTTTTTTTTGAAATTAGTAATTTAATTCCGAAAAAGCTGATGCATGAACAAAAACAAACAAATTAAGGAAACTCCAAAAAAAAAAAAAAAAAAAAAAAAAAAAAAAAAAAAAAAAAAAAAAAAAAAAAAACAAAAAAAAAAAAATTAAATAAGAGCAAGTTATGACTGCAATTGCAACTTGTAACTTCTGCATAACATGCGCAGCACAAGTTCAAGTATGTATAACACTTGAAAAAACGATTGGCTGCTTTAAAGTTAAAGAGCTCACTTTGCCAGATGGCAAGTGCAATCAAATGCGAACAAGCGTGTGCTTCCCACAGTCATGATACCTTTGCACGTGAGTGGATCTTAGCGACAGGTAGCGAACAACAAACAGCTGTCCATAAAATGTGACAGCCGTAAATAGCAAAAGCGAAAAATACGAGAGAAAAATAAATAAAAAGTAGAAGTAAAATAAAGCAGCGCTGCGCGTGTTCATTCAACTGATCAGGTGAATGTACTTCCGTTAATAACTCTTTATTCACGGTATGTGTGTGTTTCTCGATACTGATTGTAACTGAAAGGGAGTGGTATGTCTACCAAAATCTATGCACGTATATATGTATGTATGCACAGTACATACACTCATAAAGCTGCCTGTCTAGAGCAGCGAGATCGCGATCGTTGGCACGTTACCTCGATTAAAGTAAATGTCTTCTCATAGCAGCAGCGGCAGAAACCACAAATACAAGAGTTTCAAGTCTGGTTTTCTTGCCGTTTCAGTTTATTTCGAATATAGCCGTGACCTCTAAAGTTTTTGTCGCTGTCAGTGTGGCCATAAAGTTTGAGCACTCAAGCCAGTATGGCCGTAAAAAGAGCACCGAGATCTCAGCTGTTAGCACTCAAAAATGCATACAGTGGGCCTTTAGAATAATAGAATCAACCAGCAGCTATATATTAATTGACGACTCTTGAGGTCACATTATTTAGCGACCAGATGTCATTGATCGCAAATTCACACACAGATCTGCAGTCGTCTATCTCCTCTGCCTCCCTGCCAGCTCTCTGCCGTACGCGACTTAAACACTGTCAATCCTTTCCCCCTTGAGATAGACCAGCTACCGTTAAATTTCGCTCCCGTTTCGAATGCACATGCGAATATACCGAATACCGAATTGTCGAAGTAAAAGTAAACAAGCAATAAGCAATTAGTGCTGCCACACGAAATACGTTAACAGCAGACCAGAGGAGAGGCGATTACGGAGGCACATGACCTTCATGCGAAAATAGTAAACACCCCAAGCAGCAACTGCAACACGTTTTTTATTGTATATATTTTGTTGTCTGTTTTGTTAGTGTTGCAAAAATGCCACCGCCACTTGCAATTTACAATGAAATTGACATTCAGCAAAAATCAAACAAAACTAGTTAATCAACAGGTTAAGAAATAGCGATTAGTGCACACACACAAGCAAGCAAGCAAAACAACAAAGAGAGCGAGCGAGAGAGATAGAGTGCAAACACGCGGCAATTCCAATCATGATGCTGATGCAGCACTTTGGCTTTTTATAGCTAAATATAACTATAACTATTTTCTCAAAATTTCATTCTTATATTTTTCTACAAATTGTAATCTATTTATTTGAATATTCTAGCTGCTAGAAATATGAACGAACTCTTCTCAATCATACATTAAATAAAATTCAAATGAAAAATATATACACATACATTCCTTCTGTTTTACCATTTTTTAGCTAAATGATATCTAGCTATTTTTTTAGCATCTTAATCAACACTTGATATGGCTGCTGTACCATCAAAATCCCGCATATTATTAACACTGTTTAACACATCATTCATGTGTTGGCGTACAACAAAATGTCTACTTTGCACAGTTTTTTGTGCAATTTTCTTTTTATAGACAACAAACACAGCAGGAAGATAAATAAGAAGAGATGGAGATAGACATAGATAGAAAGAGGAAGCATCAACTGAATGCATGAGTAATAGAGTAGCGGCGCTGGCAGTATTTACTTTTGCGTATTGCAATTGCAATTAAGATCCATATTCTAGTAATGCGCCGGGTCGAAGGCATTGTGCGGCAATTGCTAAGCAATAGAGAAAGAAACAGAAAAACGCAAAAGCACACACTCACAAAACACAATAATTTCATACGTACATATATTCAAATGTTAATATTTACTACGTGGGAACGCGGAATACATACATATGTCGACTTTATAACGGGAATTGGTGCTCAAAATACTTTTTACTAAACAAAACTAATACGAACGCGCACACACACGCGAGCGCTAAGCGCGTCCCAGTTGTACGAAATATTATAACTGTTCTTATGGCAACCTAAAAAACACAACAAAAGCAAATTTGCTGAGCTGATGTTTTTTCCTCATAATTGTGGGCACGAGTTTTGCAATTTTTGGGGGAATACCTTGTGTATTGGTCATACATAAGGGATAGCGCCACCTAAGGCATGACACCAATATTCAGCATTGAAAATTAACTCGATACCAGACGATGGTGGATCCTCAGTTAGGAAAGAGTTGTATACAATATATATAACACACACGCACACGGAGACACACAATACACATGTATATGTACATATATTTCTACGCTGATAGGATTTACGTGACTTGCTAGTATGTGTGTATTTTTTGTTTCGAAACAAAAATTTTGGACAGTATATTTTGTAAAGATTTTTTCGTGGCATCAATTTACGAAACATATCAAGAGTAACAGGCACCACCAACCGCACACATACAGATACAATGGAAAGGGGAGTACGTTGGCGTTGCTGCCGCCGCTTCTTCTTCTTCTTGCCACACAATCACAATGTTGCACTCTAACTCTCACTATCTCGCTCGCGCTCGCATACTTAGCAGTTAGCATAATGCACACACTCACATAAATGTGTGTATAATGTAATACTCACACATAAACTCAGACGAACGCGCGTATTTGGTATCTTGAATCAAGTTTTTCTCTTTTTTCTAAAATTATCTGTCACAATCTTTTGCGGTATTGTGGAGCCCGGTATAATAATTATTGTGAGCAGTTCTTTCTTTATAGATACATTCCAAGATCGGAACGCGCGATACACGTCCGCTTCATCTAGAAACAGTCGACTGACGAGTTTCACTAACAAATATAACAGCCATATGACAGATAATAACATTTTTAGTGCAAGCGCTCGTAGCAAAGCTAAGTTTTTTAGAAATTATGTTACGTTACTGTGCAATTACTCTAAAACTGTTATTTATCGATAACAATAAAACTTCAATTTTATGCGGTAAATATTAAATTTCCAAAGTTTTCGTTATATACAAAGCCCGATCAGTGCTAAAATATATTACAAAATAATTCATAATTCTGATATATTGATGTCCTGGCGAATCATTTTTAATTTGAAACGGTAGATCGATACACCTTCAAAGTTAAATAATACATCGATTCCGAAACGATAACATGTGTCGCTGTTAATAACATTAGAACAACATGCTAAGTAGATACACAGCTGTTTAACGACTAAAATAATACATTAAAATGGAATTGGAGGGGTCTGAATTAGGCACAAGGGAATACTGGGAGACCAGCTATGCACGAGAAATTAAAAACTACAAAAACCATGGCGATGTGGGTGAAATTTGGTTTGACGAAGACTCTCAACAACGAATTGTCGACTGGCTCTTGAAACAGGAAAATATCAACAAGAAAACAGCACGTGTCCTTGACTTGGGCTGCGGCAATGGCATGTTTCTGATCGCCCTAGCCAACGAAGGCTTCGCACGGTTAACGGGAGTTGACTACTCCCCAATGGCAATCGAGCTGGCCATGGGCATAGCCAAGGACCAAGCCTTAGACATAAACTACAAAGTGGCGGACTTAACCCAAAGTGAATCTCTGGCTCTGGGCACGTACAGCATCATTCATGATAAGGGCACTTACGATGCTGTCAGTTTGTGCCCCGATGACCCCAAGGAGAAACGTAACAACTATTTATCCACAGTTTCGAAGTTGCTGCAGGATGATCAAAGTCTCTTCATCATCACCTCCTGCAACTGGACGGAGGACGAGTTACTGCACAGTTTTAAACATCTCTTTGTCAAGAAATGCACTATACCCACGCCCACTTTCAAATTCGGCGGCAAGGTGGGCAATGTAGTGACCTCTATAGTGTTTAAAAAGAAATCAAATTAAATGGCGATCGAAAAGCAAATTTATAAATTTCGACTACTTATTAATGGCACATCGATTTTTTATTAGAATGTACATATATCCAAAATGTGTTTTACGTTTTCATCAAATGTGGTTATTTAAAAAGTAGTACATACTTTTAAATAATCAACTCCAATCAAAAAACAAACTATTTATAATGAAATCGACCTATTTTAAATATCTAACAATCAATAGTAAAAACTTATCGATTATACTGATAGTGCCCGTAATAATAAATACCTTTATAACATTTATATATATATTTATTAATCATATCATTTGGTTTTTGTGGATAGCAAAAGGTAATTGGCCCATCAAGATTATTAATAACAAGATATAAACATTTTGCGCCTTCTTAAAATACTCTAACAGATGGAGTCAAAGCGGTGCATGATAAATATATTTAAACTAGCTAACTGGGAGTTAACGATTTGATATACCTATATGTAACAAATAGATTTTGCCTGTTCAATTCAATTCACAAATTTAAAATATAGTAAAAAGGCATAAATATATAACAACATACCGTTCATGTAATTCATGAGGATATTTAAAAATGGTAAACCATTAATTCAGTATTTTAAGAACAAACAAAAAACTGATAATACACTTACACATTCGGCACACGGCACAGTCAGAAACATTTTAAAGTGCGTTAGCTATCTGTTAGACAAACTATAAAACAACTGACAGGCACGCCCACCACCGCCCTTCTTCAGTTGCTCAGTTGCCTAGGCGGTACAAGTACATCGTAGACATTAATTATGCTAAGGTCTTTCCATTAGAGATATGCAGGTGACATTCAGGAGAGGAAGGTGCGCACAAATCCTTTGATTTCCGCACGACACATTGGACAATTCGCCACGCTAGGAGCGCATTGATTGCAGGTCGCTGGAGGAAAGCGAGAGAAGCGTTAGCAACTGTATGAAGAAGATCAGAATTGTGCCACTCACCCAAATGTCCACACGGCAGGAATACCACGCCAACCTCCTCGTCCAGACACACTTTGCAAAGGCGCGCATCCCTTAGCTGTCGGTTCTCCTCCTCCAGGGACAAATTGCCATTGGGATTGGACGTGGTGACTACTCCAGCAGGAGTTATTGCAGCTGCAGCAGCGGTGGCGACTGCATCAACAGCCTGTGGCTTGACTGGCTCCACAGGTGCCGCTTTGCTCGTTGTGGCTGTGCAGCCAGCGCTAGCTGGTGTTGAGGCCGTCGGCTCAGTCACCTCCAACGCAGCGCCAGAGCCACCCGCGTCATCGAATATGGCATGCAGCAAATCGTCCAGCGTGTCGTAGGCACAGCCCGAATTTGATAACTTTCTGGCAATGGCGCTCCGCACTACGCCCACATCGATGCCCAAAGCCAGAGCCGTACAGGCCGGAGCCGCCAACATGGCGCTGCCAATGCTGGTTGGTAGCTCTGGCGCTGTGGCCGCTGTGGGGGATGCTGTCGCTGATTCGCGCACCTGCCGCACATATTGGGGCCCCTTGGCGAGCAGCACGAACTGGCACTTGGGCGACCATTTGGCGTGCTCGTGCCACGGCTCGTCTTCCTTCTGCCAGCTGCGCAAGCCAATGTTGCAATGAAAGCACCGCACCTGGTCATCGATCTTCTGATAATATAGGCCCGCCTGGGCCAGCGCCTCAGCAGGCTGTATATTCGCAATGGGCCAGTTGGCAAAGGTGCGTAGACGCGCCTCGATGCACGAGAATTGTGGACGCTGAGGCGTCGTTGTGGGCTGTATGCCCAGTTCCTCCAGATCCTTGCCACCGAACTCGATTAGCGGTCCCATCTGAACTCGCGGACAGTTGGGAAAGAAGCGTTTGTGCTCGTCAAAGGCATTGTCGTTCTTCTCCCACTTGGCAATGACGCCTTTGCACCACACACATCTCACGTGATCCGATTGCTTTAGATAATAGAAGCCTGCTTTCGCCAAGGCCTGTGGTGTGATATTTGGATTCTGAAAGAATTTGAGTTAATGGCCAATTCTTCTAACATAATTAGTGGGTACAAACTGGCCAATCCTTGAAGGTTTCGAGTCGATTTGCTTCTATTAGCAGATCTGGATAGGCGCATTGTCCTCGCTGCCCTGTGCCGCCATCAACGACGCTGTTGCCTTCCGAGTCGCTTCCTTGATCTCTAGCAGTTACCCCGGATTCTATGGGCACATTGCCACAGTGATTGGGGGCCAAGACCATCGAGCAAATGGGCGAGGCGGAGCGATGTCTATCGGCTACCTGATCGCCATATTCCCAGTGGTCGATGCGCATGTGACAGAAGTTGCATTCCACTTCCAGCCAGTTGCCCGTAGCAAAGAACCCATTCTTCACCAAGTCGTCGACCTGAACTGGCGCATTGGTTGGCCATTGGGCAAACGTCCTGACTCGTTCGCTCTCCAATTCCAACCGACGTTCGGTCATGTTTACGAATGTGTGCGTTTTATGCAATGATTTAAATTGCGATCTATAGTTGAATAAATGAACAAAAAAACTGAAACGCAGCTGCGAAAATAGTTTATTGATTCCGAGCCAGTGTGACCGTGTCGCGCTAGCCAACCGAGGAAATGACATAAGCACTCGAGTCACCCTGTAGTCAAATAATTACAATTCTTTTATGACCAAAAATCTATTTAAAATATAATCAAAATATATTTAACTAATACTACTGAGTAAAATAAATTGTAAAGAATTCATTAACCGAACACTGTTTACTGCGGTTTTTAGACTTGGTCACACTGCCCGCTTAACATATGTTTCGCAGTCATTTTTGTTTTATACATTAATATATTTACATCATATTCACATTCTCCTCCCTCCCATCAAAAATACAAATGTTTTCACTTATGAATACATGAATACACAAATTATTTTACTCTTCAACGTACTCATTTTATTGAAAGAATCACCTAGAAAGACTTGCTCCTTAAAATCGTGAAAACCAAGTGGTAAACGCACGTAGTGCGTCCATTCCAGTTGATCTCGGGGTACTCCACTTTTTACTGGAAATAGGTCCTTGGCTTTCTGTACGAGAACAGTTTCCTGTTGCCCTTGTGGTGAACACGTTGCACCAGCGGGAACTTGATCTTAGAGTCGTGGAACTGCTTGACATGCACACGACGCGTCTTCGAGGCTGGAATAGACTCCACCTTGATGATTTGAATGGAGTGGGCGCGAGCACGATGACGAGCGCCCATGTCACGGTAGCACTGTGTGACGGCACCACCAACGGTCAAATCACGGTACTCGCGGTACATGTTGTGTGTGCCCGAACGCGAATCGTAGCGCAGCCAGATGCCGAAATTTTTGATCTTGATTGGCGACGTTTCGTATACCTGCTTCAGGGAGACGATTTCGCCTGTGGTTTTCTTGAACTTCTTCAGCTGTCGCAGAAAATACCAGAAACGGGATTTGGCGACAATGTTGTCGGGAGCGAAGATACGCATTTTATACAGAGGCGTCTGTGGCTCCTTCTCGCTGGGCAACTTACGGCCAACAACCTCGTATTCCTTCAACTGTAAGTAAAAAAAGTTGTTAATGAATTAAGATTTTAATATATTTTCATGTAAACAAAGGCGGCAAACATACGGTCCAGACACACACACACAAAGAGGCGCGTGGACTGAAATTTTTGTCATACAGGTTATGCGTAAGTCTTTAATAACCAACTCCTAATTTAATTTTGAATAGTAGTACATCACAAAATACTTTTATTTCCTTTATTATTATTAGTCAAATATAACTATAAAAGAAAATATAAAAGCATGACAACCACATTGTCCATAGTACTGCATTCCAGTAGCTGATTGTTTTTCTTGCGCATTATTTCCCATTTTTACAGTTTATCAATTACACTGATTTTCCGCTATGTTTGCCAGCTTGTTGCACACTATTTTAGACCAATTTTCACTGGTTTTTGTTTATTCTTTTTAAATACTAACCAATCCCTTGGCTCTCATGATGACGGCTCACGCGAAAAAGGAAACGGAAAGAGATGTCAAAGTCCAATTTACACTGAACCCAAAAAATTTGCGCAGCGTTGCTTTGGGACGCTGCTGGTTAGTGTTGCTTTTGGACAGTCACCACAGCGTGCTTATCTGTTATCGTCTGATTACGCATCGCTAGGCTTCTGCGCGTGTTCAGTGGATGCGAACGTCGATAAAATTGCAAGAATTTAGCTTTTCTCGCATTATTTCAGCAACCGAAATAGTAAATATACAAATTGTATACAATACTGTTAGTGAATGCCAGCCAATTACAAATGGCCGAAACCATTGAATCAAACAGAGTGAGCTTAAAGTATAAAGCCCATCAAGGGTGACCAAAAAATGCACAGCGCAATGAGACGTGCGAAAAAATTTCCTATATTCACAATTTAATGCAAGCCCAACAAAATTGGTGTGCGGTAAGCAAATACGCTTCGTTGTGAAATTAAATCGCGTGTTTTTCGCCACATATTACGTAGCCAAATGCGCAAATACATTAGAATATAAAGCATAAATTGTATAAGCGCGGAGGCTAACGTCTGGCCAATCCACACACAAGTGGAACGTGTAGATGGGAAAAGCGCAGGGCAAGGGGTGTTGTTCTTGTCAAGAAAAAAAAAAAAACGCGCGGTCGCCGCTCCGCTGGGCGCTCCATAGCCGTGCCTTCCTCAGTTGTGCAGCGAGCGTCCGTGCCGTCGGTTGTGGTGACTCTTCTCTCTCTCTCTCGCTCTGTGTATATTTGTTTGCGCGCGTAAATACTGCTGCGTGTCCGCCCCGGTAGCTGCTGCTGTGAGCAGGTAAGAGAGACGCGTGTATAATGCTTACAGATATGCTATTTGTTGTGATTGCACGAGTCTTTGTTTTATTTTCTATTCTTGTATTTGCTTTGCGCATAACATTTAAAGTTAAAGTTGCAGATTTATTTTTAGACAATACAAGAAGTTGTGCTTTTGATTTTTTCCTGCTCTTTTCTCCTCAGCAGCATATTTTGCGCAATTTATTTTGGTATTTTCAATTATTCGCGTTTCTTTGTGTGCGCATTTCCTTTGGCACCAGGGCTGGCAAAGCATCCGCAAAAGTCGTAATGAATTGAAAGTATTTTAATTTTTCGGCTTCTCTTTTAACTTCTCTCATTTTCTTCATTCTGTTTTTATCACCATCCGTGCTATCACAGCAATTTAGCAAGAAATATGTCTGCATGTAATAAAACTTCACTCATTTGCGTTTACTTTGTTTTCCTTCAGTATCTCAAGAAGCGATACCCAATACAGTAACCACGACGCTGTACGGCATGCAAAGGTAAATATAAATTAATCGATTAGGTTGCATCGATAACTTTGCTCATTTTTGTTTTTGGTATTACTTCCATGGCAGTGCATAAATGCAAAAAGATGATGGAAACTTTGGAACAGCAACAAACAAAGAGCAGGCCTAACAATGAGCTCCATGTGGTCGAGACGGAAACGACACTGGCAGCCAGCGAAGAGGATGACACATCAGAAGAGATCACCAATCTGTACTACCTGGAAGAGAAGAAAAGGAATACCTCTTCACGAAAGCTGAACCTAAAAATTGCAGTCGAGCAGCTTGCTCGGCATAGACCTCAAGAGAATGGTCGAGACACTGAAGAGTCGGAGGAGCCAGCAGGTCTGCAAGAGACGACACAGAGTGCATTTTTAATGGCCAACAGATTAAACGAGTCGATTGAGCGACCATATGAAAGTGGTCTGAAAGTAGAATGTCTAGTGAGCAGAAGAACTGCTGAGAGTGACGATTTTAAAGATATGCCGTCCACATCACTGGATGCCACAAAATCTCTTATGGACATAAAAGTCGAACAGACGAGTCCTATACTCGTGGTCAATGTCAACGATGATTGCGCATCCTGCTTCTCGGATAAGCCAAATAGCTCCCCAGACCAACAAGTTGACCAACTGACTGGGGAGTTAGGAGCAATGGACTCGTCGGATACTGGAGTGAAATCTGCAACTTCTTCGATTAATGAGTTATCTTTAATAGATCAAGTAAAATTTGAGGATACAAACCCACTACCATCAGTTACGCCGGATGAAGAAGCCCTTTCGCCGCCTGTGATTAAAATGCTTGCTGAGAATTCTCCATGTGATGTTGAAGAAATCTCATTACTTAGGCAGACTCCGACAGAAGATAATTGTACACATAAGGTGAAAGTGACTGAGGAAGCCTCAACTTCCCCTGTCAGGGTGCAGGAGGAGGAGAGGTGCTCATCATCAACTACTGCGTTAAAAATCTCCGAAAATATTAAAATAGAAAATCGAGATGCAGTAGACTACGCAGAAGGAGAAGGAGATGGAGGATTCCAAAATGAAAAGGAAGATACAGAGGAGAAGAAAGTGGACGAGGCATCTTCACCAGTATATAAAATTGATGAAGTTTATAGGGAAATGACTCCACCTGCTAAGGCTACAACACTACCTGTCTATAAAATCAATGATCTTTCCCCCGCCAGCATACCTGATGATGATGAATCCTCACAAGACTTTGATTCTGAAATTAAAATTGAGGAAAGCACTCCGGGATTGCCTAAACCTGAGCGTGAATTTCTCATGGAAATAATTAAAATCGAATCTGATTCCGAGGATGAAGATGTTGAGGTAGAGTCGGAGAACATCGTAGATGAAATTTATGGTTGCCGTACAGTTGCAGATGACGTCCTGATGAAGCCAGAGTTTCAACAAAGAGATTATCTGATGAAGGAAAGACAAGCAATTAAAGTGCTGCCTAAAGTAAAAATAAATGGGGCACATGTAACCGTCGCGGAATCGAAGTTGGCAGAGGAAGCAGAGCGGCATGAAGAGCAAGCTCAGATTACACTGCAACAATCTGTGATAGCAAATGAGAATGAAGAGCCGCTTCAGCAGGAACAGGAGGAGGAGGTGCAGCACCAACTGACCAGGAGAAACAGCACCAGCAGTTCCGACAGCTCCGCATCACAGCAATTGGTCATAGATCAGCCCGAGAGCGAGCAGCAGAACAAACAGCAGCCGCAACTGGAGGAGTCGGTGCAGGATCGGGAAATGTTGCGCAGGCGCAGGCGCAGCTGCAGCAACAGCAAAAGTGACGGGGACGACAACGGCTATAGCAACAGCAAGCATCTGTGCATAGCAGAAGAGCCCCAGCAGCAGCAGTCGTCTTCCCTGCTATTGCAGCGTTTGCAGTCGCCGGCAATAATTTGCAACGAGCTCACGCAGTGCAATGCAAGTAAGCTTAAGAACTTACAGCAATTAAACGTGCATTCAGTGCAATGCCAATCACAGCCGGATACAACTTTGCCACCAGCAGGATCACCTATAGCAGCATCGGCATCTATGACTCTGGGCAATACGGCGCTCACTCCTGCGCCCCCCATAAAGAAGGAGCGTTTCTTTCGCTGCGCACGCTGCAGCACTGTGCATCAATGCTGGAACTTTTTTCTGCACATGCGGGAGGTGCATCAACGCTACATTTGTCTCTACTGCTCGCACGTGTTCGCCAGCGTAGAGAAACTGTCCCTGCATCTAGAGAACAAGCATGACATGGATCAGAGGCACTTTGCGAGTGTCGAAGCGTGGCAGAGGCTACAGACTCAGGAGGACCGTGCTCGCTTTTTGGTCTGCTGCAATTGCCAAGCGAGCTTTGAGCGCGGAAGCCGCTTCGAGGATCACGATTGCGCCAAGCTGATGAAGCCGTGTGCGTTGTGCGGTCAGAAAGGAGGACATATCAATGGATGTCGCAATGGCAGAAGCATTAACAATATCAGAAACAATTGCAAGAAGACAGCGAGGCGACGAAAACATAGAACCGCCAAGTCTAAGTCGGCGGCCAAGCCGCCCGGGGAACATCTAAAAGCAAACAAACAGCAGCAGGAGCAGCCGTCGAATGGGGTGGAGATTGACGCGCAACTGCTTCAAATGCCGGCACAGCCGACGACAGTAACAGATCACAACAGTAAGCCGAACTTTAATCTTTTGTATAAGAATTTCAATAATGATCCAATTATTTCAACAGTTCCAGCGCCCATTGCAGATGCGCCTCAAGAAGATCCCCCACCCAAGCTGGTGGTGCCGAAGATGATGTTGCGAGTGCCCAAAGAGTTTCAGAAGTCCGTGGATGCGGAGCTAAGCAGCACAGACACCGAGGAGGAGGACAATGACGAGTTGCCCTCATCAGCAGAAACGGCAACGGGCGATGGCGAGAGCACTGCAGTGCCATTGCTCACTGTGGATGCAGTGCAGCAGCAGCAACAATTACACCCAGTGTCCTCGTTGTCGGAGGACACCGAAACGGCCACCGAGACGGCGTCTATGTTTCAGGAGACAGCGCCCGTACCTGCCGATGTATCGTTAAACGAGCTGGAGGACGACGATGAGGACTCGCCTTCTCTGAAACTGCCTCGTGTTCTGGCGGAATTCGAGCGCACAAAACTTGACATTGAGCGCACAATGGCCCTGATTGTGGCGAAAAAGGAGCTGCAAGAACAGCAACAGCAACAAAGACAGCACCAGCAACTACAAAAGCAGCAAGAACTACAAGACCAGCAACAGCTGCAGCTGCAGCGCGAGCTGGAGCAACAGAAACAGCAAGAGCAGCAGGAGCAGCTACCAACTGAGGCAAAGCAGCAGCGTGGTCGCTGGTCTCTGACGCCCCCCGCCTCACCCCATAATCACAATCACATAGACGAAACGACGCATGTGCCAAGAGAGCAAGTGGAGGTTGACCTGCAGGCTGCGCCAGCAAAGAATTCACCAGTGCGTCCGCTTGAGCGCCGCAATACCCTGGGAAGCGAGTGCATGGATCTCGATGATAGTTTAAACGAACCACAGCAATCACCTCAATTGGAACAACAGTCGGAGCATCAGCAGCCAGTCGCGCCTGAATCTGAGCGTCTGGGCAGCCCCGCAGGTCTTCCGGTGCCCGCAGACGGCATCCAGGTTGCCGGCGAAGACACGCAGACAGTGGATCTACAGTTGGACAGACCCTTGGACAAATTCGAAATGGTAGACTTCATCCGTTTGTGCCTAAAGGCCTTCTATCCATATTGCCTCTACTGCAATCACGCGCGTCGCATTGCCGTCAACGTCAAGCAGCTGGTGTTGCATCTGATTGGCGTGCATCGATTTACCGCTACTGTGGACAGCATCACAGCCGAGGAGCTGCAGCCGCAGACAATTGTGGCCAAGCTAAAAAGCTTTTTACCAAGCCTGGAGAGCGATCATTACATGAATTCCATAAGCTGTTGCAGCTTGGAGGACGGGCGTTTCGCCCAGCCCTTCAATGAGCGCGTCTATGAGTGCTTCCAGTGCCGCTACGTGACGGCCACACACAAGGAGCTCTACACGCACAATCGGCGGCTGCACATAAAGGCGAACATCTCGTGCTCCATGTGCCGCCTGAACTTCTACAGCTACAGCGAACTGCTGTGCCACATATGCCCGGGTCGCACTTTGAGCACTGCTATTGATACGCAGTTCCGCTGCTGTCTGTGCGATACGGCGCCGTTGGCGTCCGCGTTCCGGCTCATGGTTCACTTGCGCAAGCAGCACCACGCCTGTGATATCTGCCTAGAGGATTGCCACACGCAGGCCAAGCTCTCGGCGCACGTGTGGAAGCACAAGCTTTTGCACCTCTGCTATCGCTGTGGGATTGCGTATCGCAACAAGCAGGACATATCGAAACATTTATTCTGGAAGCACGGCACAGAGAGCATCAGCTGCAAGCGATGCCTACAGAAGCGCTGGCGTCATGTCTACCATTTCTGTGTGCCTGCCACTCAGTTCACGTGTGAGCAATGCCAGTTTACATTCAGCAAAGCCATCTACCTGGAGGTGCACAAACGCCAGCATGTGGGCGACTTTCGATATCCCTGCACGGAGGAGCACTGTGAGGAGAAGTTTGTCTCGCGGAAGCTGTTGCTGAAGCATGCGGCGTATCATGAGGTTAAGCAGCTGTCGGCTGTACGTGACGCCGACGTAGGCGACGACGATGCTCTGTGCTGCAGTCAGATACCCAAGATGGAGCAGGAAGATCAACGTGCATTGGACACCGATCAGTTTGAATTTGATAAAAAAAATGTGCAGCTAAATGTCGAATGCGTGCAATCTTCCTCGCCCAAGTCGGACACAGCAGATGAAGCAGATGCAATGCCGGCAGCCAATCAAAAAGATAAATCTCCGCAGCCAGCGCAGCAGCTGGAAGGACAGCAGGAGCAGACGCCGCGCAAGCGTCAGAAGAAGGCAAAGCGAAACAAGGCCTCGCTGGAGGACCTCAACTTGATAGCGCCAAATCTGTCTGAGTCGGATAGCAGCGATGACAGTGTTTCGGATGGAGGGCGCAGCCCGACCAAGCCGCTTGAATCCAATACCCATGGCTCTTTGCCAATGTGTGCATCTGTGGACGATCTGAACATGCCCCGGGTTATGCTGTCGCCGTCATCTGACAGCGACAACGAAGAGCAAGAGGCGAATATGGATTCTATCAAGACAGAGATAGAGCCGAAACAAAATCAGATGGACACACTCCAGAGCCCAAAGGAAGAAATGGAATCATCTGCAAAAGAAGAGCCCAAGATAGAGGAGTCATCACGTGAAACTTCAGAGCCGCAAGAAGTACTAGACATATGGAAGAATTTACTGCAGAATCAGCATTCTTCAGTGGACAAAAAGGAAGCAGACGCCATAGATGTGGATGTTGAGCCAACTGCAGAGCAGCGGCGTCCCGCTAAGCTTCACGTGGCCTGCTCCGATCATGATTACTGCAAAATGCGCCGCACTCCCCCACCCACGCCAGCGCCCTCGCCCGAGAAGCCGCCGAAGGTCACGTCCGACAAGGTGAAGACAGGCAATGCGTCCAGCGATAGCGAAACCTCTAGTAGTTCTAGTAGCTCGGACTCAGACAGCTCGAGCTGTTCGTGTGGCTCGAATTGCAGTTGCAGCTCCAGCGGCAGCAGCTCCAGCGATGATGATTCCGACAACGAATCGCAATCATCCAAAAAGAGCTCCAAGAAGGTGCCGAAGAAGACGGCGGAGCGGCCGCAGGAATCCAGCAAGAGCGAGGAGTTTGTAAATGTGACTAGCAATAATGAGGAGGAGGAGCGTACAGTGGTGCCAACGCCCAAGTCACCAATCTACAATGAATCCGACTTCGAGACGTCCGTCTCCGATACTGACGAAGAGTTCTACGATGCACATCCTCAGAAGATGACAAGCCACGTATTGTCGCAAAAGCGCTTGGCGCTGCTGTCGGAGAATAAACCAGCGAAACTACACGACAGCAACGGCAACTATGACATAGTTGAGAACAGTCGCCCGTCGACGCCCTCGCTGCCTGAGGAGGCCTCTGCCTTTGCGGAGAAGCGGGAGCGTGTGGTCAAGAACAAGAAGAAAAAACGCGAGCGCAAATCCACATGTAAATCGATGAATCAAGCCAGACTAACGATCACCTCGGAGCCGCAGCAGCTGCTGCCTCAGGGCCTGGCATCGTCCAGTGCTGCAGAAGCTGTGGTCACACCACTGCTGCCGCACCACCAGCCACACTTGCTACCGCACCTGCTACCGCACCACCAGCAACACCTTTTGCCCGAGCCTCCATTGACGCCCCTTACGCATCGGCCCAGCTGGCAGCCGCGTATGAGCGAGGGAAGCAGCTGCTCCGATGCCGATGGACAGCTCAAGCGGTCGAAGCGCACAAGGCGTCCGAACAAATTCTATGGCTATACGAGTGATGATGAGAACATGAGCAGTGTCCTGGCGCCACCTCTGCAGGTGGGCATGCAGCTGATTAAACCGCAGCCGCCCCCACAGCTGACCTGGGCCAAGGAGGACTTGCCAACGCCTCCAAAGCAGCAGCGTAGTCGCAATAATCATGGGGAGCATCATCACCATCAGGCACATCATTATCATCCTCCACACCATAAGTCGCCGCAGCGGAATTCGCATTTGCACAGCAATGGCAACACGCGCAAGCGGAACAGACGTGCTGCACCCGGCGGAGCTGTCTCCGGCAGTGCCAGACGTGGCGCCAAACGCGCCAAGCAGCAGATGGTGGCACCACCAGCCAAGGCGGAGCAACTGCAGCCACAGCTGCCGCCAATACCCACGCTAAAGATACGACCGGCCCTGCTGCCCGCCAGCGCTGCGGCCAGCGACAGTAGCGACAGCAGCTCCGACGAGGATGAGAGTGGAGACATCAACGTGACCAGCGTGCTGCCAACACTCGCGGCACCGACGTCCATGCTGCCTGCGCCGCTGCCGGCACCACTTCCACCATTACCGCCCGCAACGACTGCTTTCAATCAGCCCATACCGCCAGCACTGCTCCCCAATCCGGACTTTAGCACGCTGCAGTACTTCAAGGCGAACAACATTCGTTATCCCATTCGTCCACCGGCCGGAGCTCGATTGGCTCGTGAAGGTGAATCGGTGTACTGCTATTGTCGCTGCCCCTACGACGAGGTCTCCGAGATGATTGCCTGCGATGGCGACAACTGCCTCATCGAGTGGTTCCACTTTGAATGCGTTGGCATCATGGTCGCCCCACAGGGCAAATGGTTCTGTGCCGAGTGCCGACCCAAGCACTCCGGTTGTATCTATTCGGGTGCTAAGCCCACGTAATTTTGCATAGCTTTGTAAATAGTTTTAGAATCTAGGCTAAGCTAAAAAGATGATAAGTAACGCATATAATAAACCCTTATTAACAGCAACAACACCCACAACAGAATGGATTACGCTTATTAAATGTTAAAAAACTACTATTCGTTGTCTCCGGAACTGCGGAAAAAAGTGGGAAAAAGATAAATAAAAATTATAAAAATAATATACAACTAAATTCAACGCTAAGGGAAGATAGATAATATTATGGAATATATCGATGTAACTTTATATGCGCATAAATATATGTATGTATGTACGTATGGAAATATATCTATATATATATATATATACGCATATACATACATATGTATGTGTATATGCTTTTGTGGAATTGTAAAATACTTAGCTCATACAAGATCTTTATGAGCGTTTAGACTTAACATTACCCCAGCATCAGTAGTTATTATTAAAGTTAAATAAAACTAATTATTATCATTAGCTATCTATAGATAAACTACAGAAACAAAACATAAAATGATAAATAAAGAAAAACAACAAAAATATACATATAACAAAACCAGCAATATCTCTTTGCAATCGATATGCAAGAGATAAGCATTTAGGGAGGGAACCGTAAAACTCAATTATTTCAAAATGGGTCTGGGGATATTTAAACTTAAGCCAATGTTCATGGTAGTACTGAGTAGTCAGTATATCGTTATATTGTGCTCATTGGCACGTATACAGGCAGAAAGAGGTGAGATAGACCCCATGAGAATTTATTTATTGAATTATTTAATTTCTAGACGTACAATCTTAATAAAACTTTCAGAACGTAATCACAATGTTCAAATGTATGTACATTCCAAAGCACAAGTCTCTAGTATTTGAAAAAGTTATCGTATGATTTATTGAAAAAATAAAGCAAACTCATACTGCGTATGATATACACGAGTATGCATGCAAAATTTCAGCTTTCTCTAGCCTTTGTATCTTCTGAGATCGATGCACTCATACAGACGGGCGGACAGACGGAAAGGGCTATATCGACTCAGCTCGTCGTCCTGATCAAGAGTATATAAACTTTGTGGGGTCTGCCACGCCTCCTTCTGCCCGTTACATACTTTTACACTAAACCATTATACCCTGATTTCCCATTTTCAATGGGTTCAGGGTATAAAAATATGGATAGTTATTTAGTAACTAAGTTGTGAGGTTCGCGCTATACCCACCTAGCTACACCCAATTCCGATAAATGTCTTTTAAAATAAACTAAGTATCCAAACTGGCATCCTTGTATCCCTGTTGAGTCTCGGCAAATCTGATATATTTAATACTGTTTTATCATAAAACGAGTATTCGTTAATATACATATACATATGTATATTTACATTTACATCAGTGGCGTATATCTATGTACGTCAAATAAAATACATATGTACATATATACCACACATGTACATAAGTAGCTCCTAATCGTACTGCACTTGGGTTTAACATCCTATAAAGTATTCCAAAACTGCATATATGTATACATGATATATATGTATGTGTATATATATATATATATATATATATATGTATGTATATTTAGATATATATGTATGTATGTATGCATATACATATATATGTACATAAGTATGTGTGTATACTTATCTATAATTCATATTTGGTGTGATTATGCTGAAGTAAATGTAAATAAAGCACGACAATAACTTAAATGTTGCACGAACGCCGCCCGCACAGGAGGCCAAAAGGGGTTTGTTTACTAAAACAGCGCGTTGATTTAATTGCCGGGCCCAGGCGAGTGACGAATGGCGAGTAGCGAAGCAACAGCCACAACAGAATTACGAAAGGTACAGGTAGCGGCAGCTACACAGGTGCCAACAAACGTTAAAGCCACAGCCAAAGCCGACGCGTGGTCACTCGCGTCCTTTTCAAGTAACACGGTGTGCTTAGTTGTGTGTGTTTGGGTGCGCATGTCTCTCTGTCTGTAAGTAAAGCAAATTACCATAAATCTGGAGTATATACATATGTACATATAAAAAAAGTCGCCCTGGTGAACTTGAAGCTCAGTTCGTGTTGAGTTGACGAGGCGCGCGGTCGAGTCCCTTCGCGCGCTGCTATTGTTTTGAATAATTCGTATAACGTTCGCTTGCTGGTTAGGCCTTTGGCTAATTCATTTGTGCGTGAGTGCGGTAGCCATGTGGCTGCACCGATCTAAGCCAGCGACAGTTCAAGTGCTTATAGCTTCGCTTAGCCAGTTGAGGAGCTGCGTCTAGTCATGGTGCGTCGCGCCTCGAGCGTGCCCCATTTGAACAATAGCGGCGGCAGCAGCGCCGACAGCCTTAATAATGCACGCAGCAGAGCAGCGGCTGGGGCGGCTCCTACGGGGCGTGGTAGGCGCGGTAATCCCGCCAGCAAGGCAACAACGCCGACGCAACAGCGTCAGAGCTCCAGCAGCAGCAGTGGATCTCGAGTACCGCGCTCTCGTAGCCTGACCAACGGCATGCGGCGCCTAAGTCCGCAAAAGGGCGGCAGCAGTGGCGGAGGCGGAAGCGGGGACGGAGGCAGCACGGGCGGCAGTTCACGCAACACGCCGTACTTTCTGCGCTCCCGTGAAAATGAGTAAGTGTGCCCAAGTGCTTCTGAGTGTGTAAAGGTGTGCGACGCTTCCCACCGTAATCAATACCTTGAAAACGTATAGCAAATAACTACAGAAGAGATTGTCAATGTGTTTGTTCTAAATTAAAAATTGGTTCAAGCTCAAATGATTTCAATTTAATTACACGGCTATTACGAGTAGAATAAAAAAACTTGGATGTTAAAAAAAATTACTTTCAAAAATTATAAATTATAATTATTATATATTACAAACCAAGCTCGATATAGTAAGGTTCTATATTCCACTTTCAATTCATAGTTTTCTCAAGTATTATTTTTTGCCCCCGGGTTCTATAACTATTGCTCCAACATTTGATCCCAGCAGAAAACTTTAAAGAGTTATTTCAAAATATTTTTATACTCAATCTCGTAGAGTAGGTCGACTTTGTGCAAGGTGCATCCGACGATCCGTCCGCCTGTTCATATGAGACCCGAATACATCGCGATACTTTTGACGCAGTAGACTTAAAATTTTGAAAATATTCTCGTCAAACCGCGATGTATTTCGGTTCACCATAAGTTGAATAATTTTTCACAATTCTACAGTTATTCAACTTTCAGATTTACTTCATTATATACTTATGGGCTTAGGCGGCGAAATGCATTGCATTCATGCAGACAAAGGGTAATGCGGACGCACGGACGGACAGCATAACGGCAATATTCATCATAAATCGAATATACTCTTTCCTTTTGAGAACGAATACACCTAGATAACACGCCTTATAGACAAATAAATACAACAAATAAGACTTGAGTAAATTTTTTCATTTCAATTCCTCATATATACACGATTATCTATAGAGCCTTTTGATTTTTAACTAAATGCTATCCAATTTGCGTATTGGCTTGAAGCAGTCTATTTTTAACTTGGACTTTCTTCCTTTGCAAGTACAGAAATTGAAAAACAATCGTTAAAATATTTATGGAGTTGCTATACCTATCAAAGTAATTAGTTTTGCCTGGTTATATATTTGCATCAATCCATTTGCCTGCTGGACGTGCGAGTAATAAAACTACTTAATAACCTGACCAAAACACCAGGTCGGGGCGTGGAGTGGGCGTGGGTTAGCAACCCTTGATGAGGTGCCATTAAAAATGGAAGGACATAAACAGGGTGGCATAGGCGTAATGACCACGCACAATAAATGGCAGGGACATATAGACAGACGGCAAAACATATAGACAGTCCAGACAGACTGACAAGCACTTTGAACATCGAGCTGCTCTCAATTGGTCATGTTTTATATTTAAACAATTAGGGGTCTTAAGTAAGGGAGTTTGAGCAGACACGACGTGAATCGATTTTGTAATCAAATCGACAATTCGAGTCCTGTGAGTCCAGCGAGTTCTGTGACTCCGGTTGTGTCCCGCCTGACCCGTTTCGAAAGCGAAAGTGACATATTTATGTTTCGATAGGAATTGTTCACCATTGCTTTAGTCACTCTTGCTCTATAATTTTTGGTTGTAGCAAAGTCAGCCCATATTGAAGGTTAAGGACCTGACAGTTCTATGACTTCAGCTGGCTAACGCCTCGTTAATGGCCAGAAGTTGTGCTAAAAGGTAATTTAACTGGTTTGTCCTAGATCGATTAAGGTTATAGCCATCATTATTTCCGATATCTATGTATAAACGAGACTCCATCAATACTTTTTGTTGTATCAGTTAAGTTCTTGACTACGGATTGTAATGCATGTAATTTTTTTCACATACTTAACATATATTCGAAGTAATTAATAAACACAGAGTGGGGAGTTACGAGAAATATTGATCTGTCATTTACAGAAAATCCATTTACACACTAGCTCAGTACTCAAATTCCATAAAATATGGCACAAAAATATTTCTCACATCAAATTATCAATAATAAAAATAATAATAATAATAATAATAAAAATAATAATAATAATAAAAATA